GTAATCCCGTGTTCGTCGCCAACTTTGTAACTATGTATCTTACTTATGAACTTCTAATAAGGTTTATTATACGACGTCTTGTAGATGCTGCTTCTTTATTAAGATCTTGTTATGGGAGAAATTGTAGTCTAACGTATTTGTCGGTAGTGACGCGAGTAAATAGAAAACGCGGATGTAGAGGGTAACTTAAATATAACTTAATTGTATGGTTATTGATACACAAATACAAAGTACAAAACTTAAATAGGAACTGTAAAAATGATTCACATACAGAACAGAATCCTGTAATTGTTCTTCAAATATAAACCCTAAAAAAAACACCTTTTTCGTATATAAACCCGAAAATATTTTTCACAGATGAACCCCCTAAACCGAACCCACCTATTTACACATGCAGACATTCGAAGTTCGTAGTGAACCCAGAAAGACTGTTTCGAGACCTGGGCAGGCCTGCCTGAACTGTTCGAGCCGGGCGAGATTCCGTCGATGGTTCGGTAGGCATCTGCCTGTTGTAGTCTTCGGGAGGTATACTCTATTCTACTCTACTATTATACACTACTACTATATCTATGTACTCTTACCACTACTACTATTAATCCTACTACTTTTTATTACAATCACCACATTAACTATATCTACTACTCTACTATTTACTTATAACTACTACTACTATTATTACAATCCACCACTCTTACTACCTAACTATTACTATACTACTGCTTACTACTAGCACCCACACCGCACTACCCACTGCACGTACTTTTCACTACTACTACTATACTATGCTACTACTACTACCAACTCCTACGTATTACTACACTTACTATCTACTACTCTCACTATTACTCTACTACTATTACTATACTACTAACTACCACTCTACTATTACTACCTACTACTATATCACTATAGCTAACTCATTACTACTAACTAACTACTATTACTACTATCCTACCTACATACTCTATTACTACACTCAATTTACTACGTACAACTACTACCTATTACTCACTAACATACGATTACTACTAACTACTAACTACTACTACTACACTACTATTACTACTACTTTACTACTTACTACCACACTACTACTACTATTATACTATACTACTCTACTATACTACTACTACTACCACTACTACTAGTTCTACTACTACTATTATACTTATTTACTATACTACACTAATCTACACTACTACTACTATATTACTCTCTACCACATATATAACTACTATATACACTACTACTACTTATTTCCTAACCACCACTACTACTACTATCTACTACTACCTACTCTACTACTTTACAGCGGGCGGGCTAAAGGTGAAATTGGGAAATTATGAATGAGGAATGAGGTGACGTCATTGTGGAAGAAGCAAGTGTTGCATAGTTGTGCATTGTTTTGTGGATTTTTATTCCAGCGTGATCTTGTCATAATTGTGGAAAGAAGTCGTTCTCGGTGTGGATGGCATGTTTTGTGGAATTTTTCTTTCCAGGTGTTTATTATATATATATTATTTATTCTAATCTTATGCTCACACTTATGAAACACAGCTTGACCTCTGTCTGATGCAGGTCGTAGTTTAATTATACCTCCTATACTACGTTGCACTACTCACGCCACACTAAATGATAATATCTAATCAATCACAAATTAACATTATCATCAAGTATTACCTACACGCGTCTCTACTGCTCAACTTATCGCCACTACAACTAACCTACTAACACAACTGCTATGCTACATACTAGGAACCAACATATCAACTACGCTGCTACATGCTCATCACTAGTACTACGAATATTCCTCATTTATATCAACTACTAATACTACTACTAATTGCAATCACCACCCGCATCAATATACATATTACTAATACTACTGCTGTTACAATCACCACCACTCCATTACCACTATTACTTTAACTACTACTCTACTACTCTACTACACTGCACACCCCACCCCCCACACCCACCCCCCCCCCCCCCTATTATACTATACTGCTGTCTATTACTACTACGTAGAAACTAATACTATTGCACTAATATTCTACTGTATCTATGTATCTATTATTATACTTATTTATACTATATATACTATTACTATAATTACATACACCTCTTACTACTCAAATCTTACTATTACTACCTACACTACCATTTATCACTACTACTACTACTACTACTAATATATACTATACTACTACTAACATATTACCTACTATTACTATTACTACTTATTACTATACTATATTACTATTACTAATACTAGTATATTACACTACCTAATTAACTCATTACTGAATACTACTATACTTACATTACTTAACTATATTACATAACTCACTACTCACTATACTCCTTCACTACTACTACTAACTACTAACTACCTACATACTACTCACTCATTACTACTACACCTACCTCAACTACATACTATTCACTCACTATACTACTATTACTAACTACTACTACTATATATTACCTACTACTACTTAACACTCATACTCCTTACTCACTTACTACTACTAATACTATTACTCACTACCCTACTTCAATCAACTACTACTGACTAAATACCTACTACTAATTACTCTTACTACTACTACTATTACTACTAACTAATTACTCATACTACTACTAGTTATTCACATACTACCACTATTACTACTACTACAACTAACTACTACCACTACCACTAACTAGTACTTAACTAGCACTATTACACTATCTATATACTACTATATTACTACACTACACTCACTACTCTCCACTACCTAGCATACTACACTATTATACTATACCTATACAATACTCCTACTTTATATATCCATATACATACTCTACTTTTACTACTACCACTACTACTAGTACTACTACTACCACTACTTACCACTACTACTACTTATCTACTACTTACTACTCTATTCACTACACTCACTCACTACTACTACTACTATCTGCTACTACCTATTACTACTACTACTGATTATTCAATCACAACCATTTACCTACCTCACTATACTAACTCACTTACTATTATTTACTAACTACTACTCACTACTTATTACCCAATCACACCACAATCTACTCACTACTAACTACACCTACTCTTCACACTACTACTAATACTACTGACATATTACAATCACCAACCACCTATTACTAAATACTCACTACTACTACTATTACTACCTCACTACCTACTAATTCATCTAACACATCACCACCACCTATTACTCACTAAACTACTACACTACTAATTACTACTACTACTAACTATATTATTTACAGATCACCCACCACTATTCATACTAATACTACTCAATGTAGCTAATACCATTCTATCCACTTACTACCTACCTACTACTACTACTACTACACCACTACTAACCACAACTACTACTACCACCACTACCACTACTCTACACTATTCCACTGTTACTACTACTACTATTATTACAATCACCACCACTATTACTAACTACTATACTACTCTACTATTACTACCACTCTGCACTACTACTATACTACTAGCCCTAGTACCATATACTCTTACTAGCTACCACTCTACACTCTACTACATATACTCTACTACACTATCTACCATACCACTCTCTATACTGCCCACGCCCATACTACCACACTATTATACTACCATACTACTGATCTACTACTATTATTCAACACACCACTATATACTACTTACCAGTACTATCTACTACTACTTATTACAATCACTATTACTAACTACTACCACTACTACACTAATACTATACTATATTACTACTATTTACACTCACTACTGCTACTCTACTTTATACATACCCACTATACTATATAATACAATCCACACCACTATACTACTACAACCAACTACTACTACTACTACTCAACGTACTT